GTGTGTGTGTGTGTGTGTGTGTGTGTGTGTGTGTGTGTGTGTTTTACATATTCGGCACGACATATATAAATGCAGACAGTACATTCTTACAGACATACATTTACACATACGCATAAGTGTATGCAGTTCTTTGTAATAACAATATGATAGGTAGAGAACACATATTTGTTACTAATGAGACAATTTGGCAACGTTTCCCTCTCCGGCTTGACAATGCTGTTGTAGGGAGGAAACGTTGCTGAAAGGAAATGTCTCTTTAGTTGTGCAACACATGTCCATTTACCAAGAATTATCTCGTTGAATGTTTGAAGCAGACACAGAATTACTCTTTAATGTCTCTCTATATTGATGTTACAGTCACGTCCACGATAGTCACGTCCACGATAGTCACGTCCACGATAGTCACGTCCACGATAGTCACGTCCACGATAGTCACGTGCACAATAGTCACGTCCACGATAGTCACGTCCACGATAGTCACGTGCACAATAGTCACGGGCCCGATAGAACACAGCACTGCTTTCACTACCTGTTCTAATATCTCCTATTGTTCATAATGTACTTTAATCAACATTCTACCTGTTTGTGGCATATTGGTAGGTGGGAGACAAGTACACATCTTTCTCAACATTGTCACTGGACTTACTTGTGACTACAGTTTTGCTACTGTGATTATACCACTAATGTCACATCAGTACATCATACATTTACTTAAATATTAACTGGGCCAGCTGGCCCAGGGGTTAACGCGTCGGTCTGGAGTTTTATGACTCTCTGATCGTGGGTTCTAACCCCGCCCGTGGTATGGTTTGTTTGCAATCGTGTCATTACGATTCCGTGAGTCATTCATATCAGGCATCTTAACTGTATAAGATGACTTTCTGGTAGCAAAATATGTTATTAAATTTTTTTTTTTGCTATTGCTAATTTTGATCTCTGAAAACAGTTCTGTTTTATTTTCATCTATGAAACTTGGATAGCACACAACACAGTAGATACAACGGATATTTCCACTTGTTCATGATATGTTAAGTAGTAATTAGAACCAAGGTAATGACGATTACCTTGTATTTCTCAGTGTATTCGAAATTATTTGAACGTTAAAAATAATTTGTCTAAGATGGTCTGAAAAAGTTGTCACCTTAGACAAACTGAAATATCTTCCTCTTTCTGGTCAGTAAGTAAAGTCTGTATTAATTATTAAGTTTCAGATTATTCCATAAACAAATTGACTATGATTAGACCTCCAGAGTTCCCACTACACTACCATAGGTCTGTCTGTAAAGACATTCTTTAGCAGAAAAGTCATTGACCGTAATAGTTACGTCGATAAATGGTTCAGAGAACAGACAGGTTGATAAATTAGACACATGTGCAACACTTAGGTATCTTTAATGAGGAAACGTTTCGTCACACAATCCATTACGAAAAATAGTGAAAATCAGAAGTAGATTTGATAATCAGTTCCTCAGCCTGGATTCCATGATGGACTGATTACTTCGAGTCCAGGCTTGGGGACTCATTACCTCAGTCTCCTGATCTTCACTATTCTTCTTCGAATTGGACTGTGTGGCGAAACGTTTCCACAATGAAGAAGTCCAAGTGTTGCACATGTGTCTAATTAATCTTGAATGTTACAAAACTTAAAAATTTTGCCGTGAGAATTAGACTCAGGTTCAGCAAGAATCGTTCAGAATTTCTTGGTCCTTAACTCTGGTAACGGAGTTAACTTGACAAGTAACAGTTTTTCATATGTCAAATTTCAGTTAAGTAATTGGTGAGGCAGGAGTTGGAGGCACCAATTATTACTTGTAATTATAGTTTCCATGTCTTCAACTAAGTTCCAGCTTAACTTTCGTTTTCAACTTAGGAACGCTTTATCCGATCAGCTTCAAATTTTATACTATAGTTAACTATGACTGGGGAAGGTTCGTGGAACAATTAGAATGTACGGACCCATTTCGTGTACACCCTGCCTCCCCATTCTTGTACACCCTGCTTCCCCATTCTTGTACACCCTGCCTCCCCATTCTTGTACACCCTGCCTCCCCATTCCTGTACACCCTGCCTCCCCATTCTTGTACACCCTGCCCCCCCATTCCTGTACACCCTGCCTCCCCATTCTTGTACACCCTGCCTCCCCATTCCTGTACACCCTGCCTCCCCATTCCTGTACACCCTGCCTCCCCATTCCTGTACACCCTGCCTCCCCATTCCTGTACACCCTGCCTCCCCATTCCTGTACACCCTGCCTCCCCATTCCTGTACACCCTGCCTCCCCATTCCTGTACACCCTGCCTCCCCATTCCTGTACACCCTGCCTCCCCATTCCTGTACACCCTGCCTCCACATTCACCACAGCCACATCTAAAGTCCTGATGCCTTCCGATGCAAATATAAACCACACCCACTCTTGGTTTGCAAGTATTTACCTAAGAAACCAGCTTCTAGTTGGCTTTAAACCTAAACCACTTGTGTTGCGAACTTGGTGTAATATTGGTAATTTTAGGTAGTGTGTAAGGTGCCGTTTAATTTCGAAATGATACAGCAGTACTGTTTCTGGAGTATGCCACCTGAACTTTTTATTATAGTTAAAATAAGCTCTAAAACCATAAGGGATGGACGATGGTTTTCCTCCTAAACATCAGTCATCAATACCAGATGCATGTTATGACGGGAAAGAAACTGTTTAGGGGTTTAGACTGTGTAGTTTCATCCTTCATAATTTTCTAATCTAGTTAATAAGTTTGACAGTGTTAGGTTCTAAGCTTTAGATGAAGGATGCATCTTCTGGTCAGCTTTAAGCTTAAGTGTTGTTTTCTTCAGATTAAGCTTCTTCTTGATTTTGGGTTGTGTAAGTTTTAATTTACCAGTTTTATTCAACATATTGTGCTCCGTGAAATACCTGGAGAATGTCTCTGCTGATCAGATATCAGTGTCTGATGTTACTGAGTTACCCATGGGTAGATAATCTTGAAATTTTTGTAATGTATCCGTGACGTCTACTTACCCTGTTGCCCACTGTATTAAATTTATGTCACCTATCCTAAGGCTAAATAAAGATTACTAAACTTTGAATCGTTGATCAATCTTAGAGAAAAAAAATGGGATTGATTTTGACCTGCTTAGGTCACAATTTGCGTTCTTTTAAAAGACGAGACTAGGAAAACTGAAACGCATGTTTCAATAAGATAATTTGTGAGTTCCTTAATTAAACAATTGACTTCAACCTTACTACAACAGTAACTTAATAATGCAACTTCTGAGCGGCTTTAAACTAAGTGTTAGTGTATTATGAATTTTGATCTATGTGAGAACTACAAATTCCTTTTCAGCTTCGTTTTAAACTTTTAAATCTGGTCTTTTATTGTACTAGATAGAATTTACGTTTTTCTGTGTATCGTATTTTGTCAATTTTAATTAAAGAACCTGGGATACTAATTACATGAGATAATTTGTGGAATGTTCATGATTCCCCTTCAAGTCTCCAATGTTAAATTCAACTACACTACTGTTTTCACTTTCAGTGAGGTACAACTGAGTTACGCACCACCGGGATACCTTACTTGGGTAGCGCGGTGACACAAATACATCTTGCAGATTTATGTGTTGGTTTCTGTAAGTTAGGGTAGAGATTTAAAGTGGATTTGTTATAACCGGTAATAAATTTATGGTATCAGCTAGTGGAGGGGTTTATTGTGGGCGAGGTTGTTGCACTTGTTGTGTGGAGTGGGTGTGTATGGGCAAGTCTGATGTACCTATAATTTGGAATGGGTGAGCGTCGGCAAGACTGACATTCCTGTGTTGTAGAGAGAGAGAGCGTGAGCGAGGGTGACGCACTTGTAATGTGAAGGGGAATGAGAAGGAATGAGGCTGAAGAGGGTGAGCAAAGTCGAGGCTGAAAAACTTGTTGTGTAGAGGGGATAGTGGAGAGAGCGTGGGCGAGACTAATTCACCTGTAGTATGGAGGAAGGGTGGGCGTGGGCGAAACTAACTCACCTGTAATGTGGAGGAGGGTGGGCGTGGGCGAGACTAACTCGCCTGTAGTGTGGAGGAGGGTGGACGTGGGTGAGAGTAACTCAACTGTAGTGTGGAGGAGGGTGGGCGTGGGCGAGACTAACTCACCTGTAGTGTGGAGGAGGGTGGGCGTGGGTGAGAGTAACTCACCTGTAGTGTGGAGGAGGGTGGGCGTGGGCGAGACTAACTCGCCTGTAGTGTGGAGGAGGGTGGGCGTGGGCGAGACTAACTCACCTGTAATGTGGAGGAGAGTGGGCGTGGGCGAGACTAACTCGCCTGTAGTGTGGAGGAGGGTGGGCGTGGGTGAGAGTAACTCACCTGTAGTGTGGAGGAGGGTGGGCGTGGGCGAGACTAACTCACATGTAGTGTGGAGGAGGGTGGGCGTGGGCGAGATTAACTCGCCTGTAGTGTGGAGGAGGGTGGGCGTGGGTGAGAGTAACTCACCTGTAGTGTGGAGGAGGGTGGGCGTGGGCGAGACTAACTTACCTGTAGTGTGGAGGAGGGTGGGCGTGGGCGAGACTAACTCGCCTGTAGTGTGGAGGAGGGTGGGCGTGAGTGAGAGTAACTCACCTGTAGTGTGGAGGAGGGTGGGCGTGGGCGAGACTAACTCACCTGTAGTGTGGAGGAGGGTGGGCGTGGGCGAGACTAAACTCGCCTGTAGTGTGGAGGAGGGTGGGCGTGGGCGAGACTCACCTGTAGTGTGAAGGAGGGTGGGCGTGGGTGAGAGTAACTCACCTGTAGTGTGGAGGAGGGTGGGCGTGGGCGAGACTAACTCACCTGTAGTGTGGAGGAGGGTGGGCGTGGGCGAGACTAACTCGCCTGTAGTGTGGAGGAGGGTGGGCGTGGGCGAGGCTCACCTGTAGTGTGAAGGAGGGTGGGCGTGGGTGAGAGTAACTCACCTGTAGTGTGGAGGAGGGTGGGCGTGGGCGAGACTAACTCACCTATAGTGTGGAGAAGGGTGGGCGTGGGCGAGACTAACTCACCTGTAGTGTGGAGGAGGGTGGGCGTGGGCGAGGCAGGGGATAGTGAAGGGATGGCCGTCTACCACCTCTAACATCCTCGTCAGCTCTGGGTCCATCCTTGGGGGAGAGTCTGTCAGCGGCGCCGCTAACCAGGTCAGGAGACAATGTTAGGTGTATACAATTCTTCCACATCTTTGTTAATTAATGATATTACAAATATACGATAAAAGAAGTAATATATATATATATATATATATATATATATTTTTTATATATGATGGGGTCCACCTCTGGTGTAAATTGTGGGACCCATAGCCTCGGAGAAGTGGATAAAAAGGCTTCAAGGAAGAATATTTGGATTTCTTCCTGAAGCCATTTGAATATTCCACTTCCCCTACCACCCCATCTTTTAAACTATTTTTTTTTTACCAATAGGAATATTTTATTACATAATATGGCACAGAAGATTTAAGAGATACATTGTTGATATAAAGGTGGCATATATATATATATTATATATATATATATATATTATATATATATTATATATATATATATATATATATATATATTATATATATATATATATATATATATATATATATATATATATATATATATATATATATATACATGTTGTTACATGTGTATCACCGATTATAAGGCGAAAATCTCATCCAGCTCCTCAGAGCTGGGGCGTGTGCCCAAAATGCAGCATGCATTACCCCTTTGAACAGCCGCGCTGAGCCGCTGGAACAGAAAACTAGCTGCCCTGGGATCCCTAGTTACCCTGATGAGTCCTTTTTCCAGCTCCTTAAGGAAATTAGATGCACTCTTTCCCCATGAGCCAAGGGTCTCTGAGCCTATGGGAACAAACATATAATGATGGGCAAGTTCTCCATATTTTCTAGACTTTTGGGACTCCCTAAAGCTGGCAGCTGCCCCTCCTTCCTCCTGGTGTATTGGAGATAGGTATCAGCCAAGGTAGATGCACATGTATAGTCCCACACCACCTGCTTCCCATCTGTCCAGGCTTGAAGGGTGATACCATCTGGACGCTTCTGGCTGCCATCAGATCTGCATAGTTGGGGTGGCTCCCTTACTGCTGGGCATCCAGCTGTTGTGAGGCTCCTCTTGATAATGTTATTAACCTCCTCATGTCTTGCAATCTTTCCCTCGGATTTACGGCACACAAGACCATGGTACCCGAATCGGTCTGCTGCTTCACTGCCACAAATACACCTGTGTTCGGCGAGAATAGGGGCGGCAAGTCGAAGGGCAACACCGATGCGGATGGTCTGTGGGTCGAGGCGTGTGCCAAGGCTGGAGTTGGGAACAGCCAACAGAAAGTCCCCAGCATGAGGGCTCTCACTGCCAGCAGGCGGGCTCTATCCTTCCCTGACACACTCTGAAGCATCGTTGAGGCTATATTTTCCACTATTGGACCATCCCAGTGCGATTGTTTGTAGTTGTTGGGGGGAGCAGGTCTGGTTTCTGAGCCCGTTAGATTATCCCAGATCATTGCTCCGTCAATGAATTTTTGGTCCTGGGCTCCAATCTTGTCCCTAAGATGTTCAGGGAGAATCGCTGCTACAAGCTCTCTGGATGCAATACACGAGGACAGAAAAGCAGGTAACGCAATCTGTGATGACTTGCGGACACCAATGCCTCCTAGTCTGACTGGAAGTGTAGCTTGGTTCCACTGCCCGTCTTCTAGAGTAAGGTTAAGTACTTTCGTAAAAATCTGCCTCAGAATACTGTCATATTCGTGCAGTATATATATTATATATATATATATATATATATATATATATATATATATATATATATATATATATATATATATATATATATATATATATATATATATATATATATATATATATACAAACACTGATCTCTGGCTGAAGGAGACTCGAACCTACGAACCTTAGGTTCGTAGGTTCGAGTCTCCTTCAGCCAGAGATCAATGTTTGTGTATATTTCGCCTGCTCTCGCGAATTCCTTGCATATATATATATATATATAATATATATATATATATATATATATATATATATATATATATATATATATATATATATATATATATATATATATATATATATATATATATATATATATATATATATATATTATATATATTGACATGTATGTTACACATATCCAGGTATGTTCTGTAAATTCAGTACGTAACATCAGTAACTCAGAGATGGAGTGGAGATACTTATATAACAGCTGATGCATCGTACGAAATGGAACGATTCATGGGTTTAGGCTGTGTCTTCCTCACAGGAAGCAAAATTTTGATGTTAAGCTGTATAAATTATGTGCCAATGTTATTAATATAATTGGTATCAGCAAAATATTTGGAAAATGTCTCTTTTAATCAGAAATAATTCTCGTGTGTGACTTTATTTGGTTATCAACTTAATATTGTTCTACAGAATGTGTCAGTAGCGTCTGTGTGTCCTCTAGACTATTGTTAAACAATCGTATGATATATTTTCTATGTTTACAT